ATGTTATGGTATAATATAATATTATTCCCATCCTACTATAAAAATCAATACATAGATTCAGAAGGCAAACGGGAACAAGTCGCATCGTTACTCATTTCTAGATGACAAAACTAATTCTTTTGAAAACAACATTCATAGATCTAGGGAATATAACATTACTATGCATGACTTGTTGGACTTTGTTGAAAAGTTTGATTGCCTCAAGTGCGAGAAAACCAAAGGTATCAAATATTAAAGATATAAACACATGTTGATTTTCAATGCATATATTCTTGTGTTGTCATTTTACATGCGACAACTTTCAAAGCAGCATGTCCCGTTGTGAAACACTCACTTCTAAAACCCATGAGAGGGTAGACATCAGTAACATCCACACAATCATATTTCCCTCCTACCCATCCGAACAACAAAATTTCAGTTCGAGTATGGATCTTCCATCTAGCGGATTAGTCAAAAAGTTCACAACCGCTTCTTTCTTAACGGAAATATTGGCATGCCTACAAACGTTAAAGAGAACATCTTTGGGCACATCATGTTCGTATTTGAAGCGTAAGAGCTCTCTACAAAGAATCGTTGTTAGAAATAGGAGATGAACAAATTGTTTGGATTCTTTGAAAGTCGTGATTCACTATCAAATTGAAGTATTTCAATGGTACAGATCGAGCACACAATTGGATGAAATTCAGAGATTACGAAATTAGAGAATGTATGTGAAATGTTCTTGAAAAATAGTGTACCAGAAAATGAACAAAAAACGACTATATCATTCCTATCTGAAAATTGTCACAAGACATTTACAAACTATCATAAAACTTTCAAACTTTTTATAAAAACAGATCTAAGGGAAAAGGGTCAAAATGAGTCCATTTTTTAAAAATCAAATTTTGATGCATTTTTTAATATAGCAAGTAGCAACATAACTATATAAAAAATTGTGCTTACCTAGCAGCTTGACTCCAGCCAAGGGCTTTGCCCCTTGGACCCCGCTCCCAGTGGTGCTACCCCCGGACCCAAGTTCGTTTAGGGGTTTCGTCCCTAAATAACAATGTACTTTGAATCTTGAAAACTTGAACAAGTGTGTACTCCTGGACAATCCTAACTTGTTCATATATTTAACAAGATCACTTTTGGTCAACAAATTTAATTTTATTATACTTAAAACAATATTAATGATATTAAATCACCAACAATCGTCATGTTCCCAAAGGTGTCCAAACATGTCTTGTTGCAAACTGGACATATCTCATCTATCGGGAATAGAGGAATTATGAGACGGTTGTAACGCCCGCAGATCCGGGCTAGTCAATTTAGAGGCAATAAAGGTCGAAAATGACTTTTTGACAAAAGATTATTTATAATAAATAATCTTAACCAAGTTTTAGAGTATGTCACAAGGTTTCCATACATATAAAGAACGCCGAAATCCGAGTTATAACGAAGAAGTTATGGTCCGCCGAAGTTTTACGGCAAAACCGGCACGGCACCGGGAGACGTAAATAGTGAATTTACGATAGAAGACTTTTTAGCGTTAGCAATCTAAACAAAAGTCGTAGAATATGTTAAACTAAGAACATCGATAAAAAGAACGCCCAAATCTGACTTCGTATGAAGAAGTTATGATTTTTCTAAGATTCGGCTTAGCGGTGCACGGCCCGAAACTCGAATTTTAGTTCGAGCGGTTTTTGGCTTACGCGACCTAAATGAGAGTTGAATATCTCATTAATAGGAACTCAACGGTAAAAAGACAGACGAAAACGAAGTCCGTATGAAGGAGTTACGAACTCTTCGCAGTCATTTAACAGTCTAAACGCCTCCTACTGTTAAATTTGAGATCGGTCGAGAATTAGCCGACGGAGTCTAAACAAAAGTTGTAGATCTTGATTTTACCTACGCGTGGATATAAAGAACGTCGAAAACGGAGCTCGTATGCAAAAGTTATGATTTTTCTAAGTTTGAGGGTTGATACGCGATAGGGGGTGACGTGGCACCACCAGAATTGGACACATGGCACCACCAGAAGGCCACCACATGGACCAACTCGTCGAGTAGGTCCCCCCTACTCGGCGAGTCCATCAGATTCCTCCCCTATAAATAGAGGTGTCGGGTTCCCTCATTTCCTCACCCCTCAACCCTCTTCTTTCTCTCTCTAAACTCTCTCTCTAAGCCCCCTAACCCCCCTAAAAGCCTAGGTAAACCCCCTAGCACCCGAAGGAAGCCCTAAGGCTCCCGGAGTCCCGAGAAAAGAGCCTTTCGGCTCAGGAACGCTGCTCCAGTGAAGCCCGGTTTTCGAGAAAAACCCGCTGTAAGTGAGCTGTACCTATCCTATCTTTAGTTTAGCGTATGTTTTAATATAGGAATGTTATTAGGTCCTTAAAATAATTATTTGGGCTATTATTATGAGTTATATTGAGTGTTATTAACGCTTATATAATAATAATAATAGTCAGATAATTAATTCGTCGCGGATATCGGTAGACTAAACCCTAGTGGTGTTGATACTAGGTTTTATCGAAGGAAAGTTGTTTTGAGAGTATCGAAGCGTTGTCCGAGTGCTGAGTCACCACCTACTCAGTTGAGTGCATAGTCCCTTTCATCTTACACATAGATATGAAGTATTTTAATATAAATTACGTGCTATGTGTGCATATTGTTTGAATACTTGTTGTCTATGCTGGATGAATGATTTATACATGTTTTAAATGATTTAAAGTGTATATTTATTTTATATCTACAAATATGTTGGGATAAAACATGAGTAGATGAAATAGTTGGTGAGTGATGAAATAAAATAATGAGAGATAGGAGATGATAGGAAGTTGATGATAATTAGGTGAGGATAGATAGGTGATTATGAATCGGTGATGTAGGATACTACAACCTTGTCCGACAATTTGGAGATGTAGTCATCTACCAGAGTATAGATGGCGACCACGGACTATTATAGACAACCCCGTGGAAACACCAGCAGGCTAGTAACCTGTAGGTGATGAATTACGAGTTCAGGCGATGTTGTAACTACGTATTCATGCGATGATAGTCTAACCCTTATTATGAAGTACGAGTCCAGGCGATGTTGTGGCTACGTATTCATGCGATGATAGACTAACCCTTATCATGATTTACAAGTCCAGGGGATGTTTTGGCTGTGTAATCATGCGATGATACCCTAACTCTTGCTAGACACATATTGAGGGAGTAATCCCCGGAATAGTATTGTCTATGCAATGTAGGCGATGATCCTTAGGTAAAGTTCGTAGGAACAATCATATAAGGAAATACGATGTAAGGAGATGAGAAGTAAATATGATATAGGAGATGACCCTTGAGATAATATCTTTAGGAAGGACTAAAAGAAGATAATGGGGATGGGTAATTGGGTTGATTGTTTGATTGTTTAAACATAATAACTATATTATTGTGGGTTGAAAACCCTATGTACTCACCAGGTTTCCCAACCTGACCCACTCAGTTTATTTACATCACAGGTGACGATATGAAGTGACATTACACTGAGAGATTTAAAGAGATGTAGATCACTAGTGTAAATAATTGTAAGTTCTGTTTATGCTTATGTTTCTGTATTAACAATGACATCCCAAACGTTTTAAGATGAATAAAAATACGTTTCTTCGAAGAGGTTTTAATAACGTATTTATCATGTTTTTCTGGGAACAAATTCCGCAACATTTTTATGAAAAAAAAAAAAGTACTCTAATTTTTACAAAGCATAAACAAAATCGGTCTTTTCTGGCCGTGATTTTTGGGATGTCACAGGCGGTATCAAGGGATAGTATTCCACAGGAGACATGATGACCGATACCATCAATAGAGATAATTAGTAAAAAATTTTGTCATGAAGTGCTTGAAGACAGTCAAAAACTTCTTTTTGTCTAACAGACATGTCCAAGTCAACTTTCATATCCTTTATGATTTTGCTAAAAATAGCACATGCCAATGCTTTTTAGGATTTAAGGGGCGGTGTCCTTATTAGTAAAACTGCTACAATCGAATCCCAAAATCAGTTCACGTAGACGAACCAAAGCACATAGGTAATCAGAATTAATACCACATTTGTCACTAACACGTAAAATGTAGTCTTGTAATGTCAAAGATTTGGCTCTTGAGGCTACAAATATGTAGGATGGCACCTTGTTTGCCAAGTATAAACAAAAATCACCGAACCGAATAGATAAAGAAGTCGGTCGTTATTGGATGTCTACAAAACTAAATAGGATACCTTGTTTGTCGCGTATACAAAGTGAAAGCATTTTTATATACATGCTGGATGTCATGTTGGTCGGTATTTTTTCTTTATTTTAATGTCTAAATTTGTTTTAAATTTGGTAGCCTTAGAAATAATTCAGGAAGTGAAAATTGAAACATACACTTATTTTGATGGGAGTTCATGAAACATTCTATAAAACTTGGTACATGTTAGGTTACAATTTTTATGACAATTATTCATGCTTAAAAGTTTGGTATTATTTACATTATTTTGGCATATTACATGAGTTGAAAAATACACCACAAAATATTTATAATGGAGTTTATTCGATATTATGCATATTTGAAAATTTTAGAACGATCATGTTGTAAAATGTTTTACGTGGAATAACTGTTATTTATATAAGGTCATTATTGATTAAAAAGAACAAAATTATTGCCCTTAACATTATTCATTGTCTTTTATTTTATTCACCTCCTAAACAAAACTCAAAACACAAATTTTCTCTTTTCCTTCTCTTCTTTAAAAAACTCAAAAACAATGTGCAACACTACAAAAATATACGTTTGATTAGCCATTAAGAAGCGATCATCTGAGCAAAATCTGAAAACCACTTTACCTATCCGCTATTTAAAAGATGGACTGAAATTACAAACTTAAGCATCCAAGGACCATCTCCGTACTAATCAATATTTATGCAATCAAATTGCAACTTATCTTATATGATGAAATAACACATTGGTAACTAACAAAAAACAACCGCATAAATTAATAGATCCTTTTATAAATTGATAAAACAACTTTGTTGCATAAACATAGTGTCTTATCATAGAAAATCATTAAGCAAGTGTTGATGAGCATAAATAAATGGAAAATTGACATAAGTTGAGGTGCCACAAGATTTAGAAAAAAAATACAAAAAATAACAAGATTTAAATATAACTTTAATCGATACCAGGCAAAGAATATTATTTGCCAACATTTCTTTCAAAATACACCTTTACTTTCGATCCAAGAAATAATGAAATTTTCATTAATGACCTCACAGTTTCGCAAATCCTGTTGACTTGCAAATCGGGCAGGAGTTCTTGTGTTGCAGCCATTGTTTGATGCAACCGTGATGGAAGTCATGCCCACAATCCAATGTTCCAAGATCGTCTCCATTATGATATTCCTCCTGATTTAAAAATATTGTTAAAAAAAAAAATTAATATCATGAATTTTTAAAATATGGGAAATTAAAAAAAAAATTCGTTATAAGATTGGAAAACATTCAAAGACATAAACTAGTTATTGAAGAGTATATAAATAAGGGAATAAATGTAATGTATAAAAAACGACTTAACAGATGAAGTCAGGAAAAAATATAAACATACCTGACATACGCAGCAAGGTTCTGCATCAGGCTGACCCGTTTCAGCCACATACTGTTTCGTCTTCAGATGCTTTGAAATCGTCTCTTCATTCAATCCCGTGTTCACGTTTCCAATCCGCTCTTCTAAAGCCAATAACTCCTGAAAAAACAATCATCAAAATTAACAATTTCTTAAAGCACAATTTTACGGAAATATATAAATTAAAAAATAATTATAATATACCTCGTAAGACATATTATCAATATCAAGCCTCATATCTCTATGTCTATCGTGAATATCCGCAATCCCATAGAAAACCGATTGATCTAAGATCATTAGATCCTACAACAAGACATAAAAAACCACAAAATTAAAACTTTTTTTTAAAATCTCAAAATTAAAAAGTAAAATCTTTTAAAAGGAACAAAAGCTAACCTCAAACCGCAAGGGTTCACCCCTGCGCATGAGATCCAACACATTGCGAATCTGCATTGAACAAAGACCAGTTACGTTTTACTCCCTCGACTTCTAAGTTTGACAGTTTTGGTCCCTAAACATTGGTGGAATATAATTATAATAGAACAAACCTCAGACACGAGTCTGCCTCTTCCTTCGCTTCCACCTGTCATGGTTCGTGAAAGATACGGAACCCCAAAAGCACCATCGAGCTGTCTACCGAGCAATACCGAGGATCTCGAGTGAGGTTGATGATGTTGTCCTTGGCTGCTAACTACAGGCGGAATCGGAATTCCTAATTCCGAAGTAGTAATCGCTGGCGGCAATCTAGGGAAAAGATTACTGTTCGGTCCACCACCAGCTTCGGAATCAGAAGCTGACAATAAAGACCTACGAAGAAATGCGGATAGCCTTCGAGGATGATAATGCGGGGAGCCACGAGGTGGAATGGAATTAGGTGCTGCTGATGTCGGAATCGGCCCTGAACTCGGTGAGGCTCGAGAAGAATCGGAAACACCAATTCCGACATTGCTTACGGCCCCACCACCACCGTTTGAACTCCAGTTGAGTTCAGTTTGGAGAGCGGTTCTCGTGTCACTCAGCTGGGCGAACAGAGGATGGTCGGAAATAGAATCAGGCTCATTCCGATCGCCGGAAATAACAAGATTTGATGATCGAATGGCTCTCGAGCTTGGATTCCTACTCCACCTCGATGTCGATTGAACGTTCCTTCTCAAGGCCGGAATCCTCAAAGCCTGTTGACCACTTTGACTCGATAAATCATCGGATGTCACTGCTACAGGCGGTGTTATAAAATCTACAGGGTTAAGTCTCAAAGAAGGATATAAACCCGAAACATCAGGTTCCCCATTATTACTATTATTACTATCTTGTTGACGCGAAGAAGTAATCCTCAAAACATTTCTACGGGAATTCTCGTTTCCTCCACCGACACTCAACCCAAGTCTCGGAATAATTGATTCCGAAGTTGGAGTGGCTTCGCTTCCATGCCATGTGATGGAACCACTTTCCGCCCTTGGAACCATGTCCGAGCTTCCGATTCCAATTCCTGAAGAAGATTGCCCTAATTCCACTGCTTTTCTTTTCCGGGACAATCTCCGTTCCTCTAATTCAATATGATCAGAAGATGATCCAAAAGGGTCGGACGAACTACTACTACCACTAGTAGTAGCCATTGATAAAGAATTTGATAGATTCATGGTGACATTGTTATGATCACACAATGAAAGCAAACTTGATGGTGATTCAGGGCAAGATTTCATTAAAGAAGAACTTGAACTGGGTTCACCAACATTCCACAGACTTAAATTCTGTCCTTGATTTGTTGAGTTCAGAAACGGATCATTTGATGGAGAGTTTTGCATATTGTTTTCAAAGCAGATTTGCTGATCGATTACGTTTGCATCACTTGATGATGAACCATGTTCGAACCCTAATGTTGCAGGAAAAGAACCGATAGCACCCCTCTGTCCTTGCATTAGACCAACCAACAATCTACCAAGATGATCGCAACTTCGTTGAAAGCCTGAAACTTTTCAGAATTATTGTTGTTATTGTTATGCATAAAAAAGAAGTTTGCCCAATTTTGAACCCAACAAGTACTAAACGTGAATCGGAAAAATGAAAACAAGAACAAGTGAACAAGAAGAAAGCTTTCACAACCAAACACCACCCACCCACTAACCCTAGAGTCAAATTCACTTAATTTGCAGAAATCGAGCCACCCATTTACAAGCAATGGATTTACCCAAATCTACAATCAATGAATATAGATACATATATGCATACACCCAACACATAGAAACATAAAGCATTATTTCAAGAACATAATCGTAAACTCGATGAAATTAGAGGAATTTGTTCATGAATAAGATAAATAGCAAACTATTGAAACAGTCAAAAGAAGTGTCAAATGGTATATAGACAAAAAGGGTGTGAATCTACCAACACACGAAAAAATGCACAAAAAACAAAGAAAGCATCTCGATTAAAATACAACAGAAATGAAGAAAATTTTCTTGAAGATAAGTAAACCCCAGATGAGAAACTACAATATACAGAAAGCAGAAAGCGGTCATCATCGAGAATGATGGATGAAAGGTGTGTCGAAGAACATACCAAACGAAAAAGCGAAGAGATTGTAGGCGATGGATCTAAGATGAACGGGTATAAGGATTTCGAAACGGTTGTCCAAGAAGGCGAAGATGATGATCGAAACGACTTCGTCTTTACCGCACCCCCTCTCTCCAAATAATCAATCAATCAATCAATCAGGTTTCTGATTCTTGAAGCAGATACCCCTTTTCAAAGAAGAAGAGGGGGGTTTAGAGAGACCTGGGGGAGAGAATCAAAGATGAAATTGTGTTTTGTGGGTGTAAAATGACATGAGAGAGAGAGAGAGAGAGAGAGAGAGATGGAGAGATGGTTGGATTAAAGAGGAGAGGGTAATCTTTAAATTACAATCTGACCCAGAGAGAGAAAGAGTGAAAAGTCGCTAGTTTCCCAAAGAAAAAAGAAAAGAAAAAGAGGGGTAATGTAATGTGTGTGGGTGTGGTTACCAAATGGTGTTGTCTCTCCTCCTGTCCCAATGCACGCCGAGCCGATCAACTGTGAAGCTGTGTTTCTTGTTTTCTTCTTCACGCCAAGCACCTCCTCTTCACTCTTTACTCTTCAGTCAGACTCAAAAGCCTTTGCATTCGCTTTCACGTTAAGCCCCTACTTCTCACTACTCACTCATCTTACTATTTAACGTCTTTTCCATGTATGCTTTTTCGGGTAAAAAGATCTCTGCAACTCTGCAACCCATTTTTAAAATTCAAATCCCACACGATATTATTTTATTTTGTTTGTTATCTGATTTTTATTTAAGGAAAAGTGAATATAGATTATTTTTTCTCCTTTTGTTATTGACAAATCCATTAAAAAATGATGAGTTTTGTCTCCTTCAAGTGTCCATTTGAGTTTAGCCCTTTGTTTGATTCAGCTATTTTTCTGAAGACCGCTCTCATTTCTGTAATCTTTGTATCATTAAGGGTGTGTTCTTCCGTTGTTCGATCAAGTTGTTGGACTCTTTTTTTGTTTCATGTAACTTTTGTATCTCCTTTGAATGTTATTAGGGTCGTTATTTCTTTATTTCATTCTTTAAATATAATTGACGGGGAATGAATTATGAACTCAACTCACCTGAATTAAGGGGATTTGGTACCCCTAACATGTATATAAAGTCTAAACTAAAATATTTAAAGAATAAAATAAAGAAATGACGAGCTATAGAACATTCAAAAGAGATTCAAGAGTTACATGAAACAAAAAAGAAAGTCCAAAAACTTGATCGAACAGCGGAGGAATGCACCCTTAATGATACAGAGATTGCACAATGGAGAGCAGGCTTCAAAAAAATAGTTGAATTGGAAAAGTATTTTGTCTTAGACATTAAACAAAGGGCTAAACTCAAATGGCAGTTGATGGGGACAAAAAATCATCATTTTTCCATGGATTTGTCAATAACAAAAGGAGAAAAAAATAAGATAGTAGGGTTATTAATTGACGGGGAATGGATTATGAACTAGACTCACCTGAATTCAGAGGATTTGGTACCCCTGACATGTAATATGAAGTCTAAACTAAAATATTTAAAGAATGAAATAAAGAAATAGCGAGTCACAAAACATTCAAAGGAGATACAAAAGTTACATGAAACGAAAAAGAGAGTCCAAGAACTTGACCGAGCAACGGAGGAACGCACCCTTAATGATACATAGATTGCAGAAAGGAGAGGGAGCTTCAAAAAAAAACTTGAATTGGAAAAGTATGTTGTCTTAGACATTAAACAAATGGCTAAACTCAAATAGGCAGTTGATGGGGACGAAAACTCATCATTTTTCCATGGATTTGTCAATAACAAAAGGAGAAAAAATAAGATAGCAGGGTTATTAGTTGACGGGGAATGGATTACGGATGTAGAAACAATCAAATCGGAGATATTTAGCTTTTACCGGCTCAAATCCCAAGAGAAGTGGCCCTCTAGATCCAAGTTATTAAGCTTGAATTTCTCATCTCTTGATCCAATAGCAAGTGCAAGCCTTGAAGTCCCATTCACTGTTTAGGAGATATAAGGAGCCATTTGGTCGTGTGGCAGTGAGAAATCCTCGGGCCCCGATGGTTTCACGTTCAAATTCCTAAAAAGATACTGGGACTTATTAAAAGTCGACATTGTTAACGTCGTTAAACAGTTTGAGAGGTCTGGAAGGATAGAAAAAGGTTGCAACGCTTCATTCCTCACCCTTGTCCCTAAGATAAAAGATTTGCTTACAGTTGGTGACTTCCAGCCCATAAGTCTTGTCGAGTGTATGTACAAGATCATCGCAAAGGCCTTATCCGCTAAACTAAAACAGGTGATCGATGTGTGTATTGGTGATGTTCAGTCGACATTTCTGGAGGGCAGAAATATCATCGACGGGCCCTTAATAATCAACGAACTTTGCTCGTGGGCAAAAAAAAAGATGTGACTCTTCAAACTCGATCTTAATAAAGCTTTTGATTTGGTCGATTGGGAATTCCTTAATCATATTCAAATGCAAATGGGGTTTGGTGAAAGATGGAGGTGTTGGATACAAGGTTGTATAAGCTCATCAAGAGCTTCGATTCTCGTGAACATATCCCCAACAAAGGGATTTGATATTAGGCATGGAATCGGACAATGCGATCCCCTATCACCACTCCTATTCATAATAGCAATAGAGGGTCTAAATATTGCTATGAAAGTTGCATGGAGAAAGGTATCTTCAAGGGTATAAAATACCAAATTGTGACTTGACCTTGTCACATCTGTTCTACGTTGATGATGCACTCTTCATAGGGGATTGGAGTGAAGATAACATTAAGAATCTTGCTAGAATCCTGAGATGTTTTCATGTATCCTCAGGACTAAAGTCAACTTCAAAAAGTCAAGAGATTTTGGAATTGAGGTTTACCCACAAGAAGTTTTGTCTCTTGCTGCACCATTAGGATGTGAACCTGCAAAACTTCTATTCATATACCTGGTTGTTAGATTAGTGTCTAAGCTCGTAACTATATTTAGTATGTACTTGACCCGGTTGTGCATGATCCTTTTGGGTTGCATTCACCAAAGCAACTTGATATGCTTCATTCACGAAGCTGGTCTCTAAGGGGTTTTTAAGGAAATTGCCTAAAAAATGGCGATTAAATGGGTATCCACTCTTACCCACCGCACTCGTGACTAGTGGAGGGTCGTTAGCCGAACAGGTAGCATAGGACACAACTTTCCATTATAAGTATAATGAACTACGATGTAACTAAACACTTTTATAAATTCTCCAAATCTTAGTTACTTTAGGAAAATGTGGAATTGGTACAAATCCATGAAATTGCACATTGCACCTTATTAGTCGATTAGTGGAGCATGTTGTCTAAAACACCTAGACAAACTACAGACCCATTCATGACAGTGTTGCTTCAATACCTACTTCCAAAGTATGATCGACTGTGGATGGTTTGAATAACCTAGTTATTCGGAAAGTCAAACATGCAAAGTGAAACACAAGAATAATACTAATCCTATATGCCCCTAAACTTTTGAGCGACATATTGATTACTCATTATTCATTGTATAATGTTTTGATTCAACTTAATACCTGAATAAAAACAATAGTTATGCCATGCTCTAAGCATACACACTATGTTTGTCTATGGTCCTGACTTTGTGAAATATATTAATTGAAAACATTTCAATGATGCTCATTTCACAATTCCAAATCTTTATTGCAAGTGTAAGAATTCCAAATTATTGTCACTGCTAAACTATCATGCAATGCAGCCTTTGTAATGTCATGGTACCAAAAGTCATAGAGACTTGACCAATGATATTACAAAAATTTCCACTAGAGATTGATAACAAACAATTTCAAGGAAGCGAAGTATCAAATTCAAAGTACGTTCCTTTGAACATCCTTCATGCATAAAAGTTTCTAACTTTCTCATCTAGTCCTCACCTCCCAATCTGGAAGCATTCCATATTGTCCATACGACAACTCATTATTAATAGACTCCTGTTTATTCATAATAATGTCAAACGGTCCATTCATTACTATATTTCCAATTATCCTTAAGCGACCAATCCTTGGCAAACCTTAGATTGTCCTTAACAATTGTTTAACCACTTTAGTCATACCCGATTCTATTCCTTTTTCCCATTAAATGCTCTAGGCATTTGGAAAATTAGAACACGATAATATTATAGCATATGCAATCGATCCTATACCCGAAGCATATGGGACACAATTCATAATGTCTAACATAAAGACATGATACTTGGTCAGTCTTTTGCTATAATATTTATATTTTCCATGTTCTCAAAATTCAAATTATGAAGAGGGGTGTCGTAATGATAATTAAATTTTGAGAATGCAATTAACATTTCCACATATAGAATTTCCTTATGTTGAACCATTCCAACATAACATTCATATATATATATATGACTAATTTTGATTAAAAAACTCAATCTAAGCTTTTAGATTTTGAAATGAATTATAATTTCCTTTCCCTTACTTATAGCAAAACAGCTTTTCAAACCCTGCAACTTTGCTATTTGAAACCTTTTGTTTTTCTATAATTAACATTGCTAACTTGCAACACTTACCATAATAATTATGCTCCCACTAGCACAATAATTATTATCTTACTAGCATAACACTTATGCTCCCACTAGTTTTGACATGTATTAAGAAATCAGTTGAACTTATAGAAATCAATACTTGTTGACTTTCTTACCAAAGTTCAAATTTCTGATAGAGGATGCTTCGACAAGACTTTATCTAGGCTTCTCAAACTCATACACCTTTCTATAGATAGCTCAATGTGTGTCTTAACTATTAAGATGTTTAGACCCTTTGTCATTTCTCACAATTCAAAATATGAAGATGGATGTCGTAATCATAATTGAATTTGAGAATGCAAATATCACAATTCCTAACTATTAAAATCTACTTAGTGAAAGCGTTTCCTAACAATCATTCTCATGAATTTGAGAGAAACCTTATGACACTTAGATTTTATGGTGTATGTGTTCCTATCCATGTGAATTTGTCATAATCATAATCACAAGACAAGCCTAGTGAGAAATCCAAACTCATATAGATTGAACTTGTTCAATCTTAATTTCTTGCCACTTAGCAGCACAAGGGCCTACCATGTCTTCCAAGTTGTTAAACAACTCACCCATACTGATCAATAAGACTTTCATTGATCCAGGTGCTTTGCCTTATGCAAAAACTGAGAACTCATAGAACTCACATGCATAGTCAACTTTACTGGAATGAGCACAGAAATAAGAATATGTCAACACGATAGGTTACAAACCTCAAGTTGTGTTCTAGTGAAAAACATTAGGTTTATTCTTGATTAGTTCTTGAATCTTGTCAAGATCTTTAAGACTCCCACTGACCTCTTGAAATATAAGACTCTCTTGTCTAGAACCATTCCTTGACAAACAAATATTCAAAAGTTAGTGCAGACTCTAATCAAGATTAGCACTTCACACAATTCGCCTTAGTTGGTCTTTGTTTTATCCAAAACATCACATCTTACCAATTTCAAATGTAAAAGAGTAAGAAACATTTTACTCTACATTTGACAAGTGTTACAAACCTTTCTTAATATTATGTCACTCGAGTTACAATCTTGGAGTATGACTCTAAGACTTGTTTTTGGAACGAAGTATGATTCATCTTCTTGATTTAACCATTTCAACAATTCACGATTCCTCTTCTTAGTCATATAGATGCA